GCGTGTTCAATTTGAAATTCAAAATTTTCACATGACATCCATGCACCCAATGCAGTCTGTTGGAGCAGCCTGGGCAAGTGGATCAAATCGGTGACGACAAACTAACTAAACCCAGTCACTTCAGTCCAAACACCTATAGCAAGGGGTAATTTGGCTCTCTAGTGACACCACACCATATGGCACCTCTAAACCGTTTCATAACACCTTGACACCATGTAGGTGGTGACTTGCATTAGCCAAAATGATAGAGATCACCTCAGAACCACGTTGGATACACCTCACACACCTTGATAGTGCTTCATCGACACTTCGAACGGACCAACCTATAGGCATCTCGCGAATCGGGCCAGTCACCTTAGAACCAAGCCAGAGACCTCGGCACGAAGGGTGACCTCCTATCGAGGCCCCACCGACCTGACTGAGGTCCAGTTGGTGACCTACATGACATTGCAACTGGTCTCCATTATGTGCGACTTATCATCTCTGAACCATTCATATTATTGCTTTACGCGGAACCAGTTTCTGTGTGTGAAACCACCTCCAAGAGTGACAGGCCAATAAGCCACGCCCTTTTGGAGATCTTGGACACGCGATGTAAAGCTGAAAACTATTTGCGCCTATATAAAGGCTCCCCTTTCAACCAGAGAAGGGACACACAATTTAGCTCTCAAAGCTCTATTGCTTTCTTGTTTCCAGCTCTTTCAATACACTCATTGCTAACTTAAGCATCATATTGCCCACCTCAGATACTCTGACAGTTTTCTTGTAGCTCAGCTAACCGACTTAGTTAGCCTGACATTCGAGCTATCCTCCAGTAGGGAGCACCAGATCGCGCACTATCAAATACCATCTACACAAAATACCTAGGAGAACTCTTTCAAAAAATACCTCCCGTAGTCAAGCGTGGGAGATATGCAACTACTAACAACACTCTTTCATATGATGCTCAACAACTATCAACAAACAACCTCTTTCTAACAATCACAAATAGTCGATGCATAGAGATTCAGTAGTGAAAAAAAAATGAAATAGGAGGAAGACATACCAAATGGTCACAACAAGAACAAACCTCTTTTCAATGATTGGCAAATGGATATAGTTGGGGCTTGGATGTGACAAAAACATATAGAATTCAAATCAGAGCAAGAAAAATGGATGAAGTTCCTTATATTTAGATGGAAAAACAAAACAAAAACATATCTTGAAAGATTTTTAGTTGATATAGATGTAGATTTGACTGCCAAAAACAATTTGACTCTCTCAAACAATGAAAATAAGAGAGCAATACGAATGGAAAATTATTGAAGGAGATGATGATTCAAATGGAAGAAGGGACTCAATTTAGGCCATGTTTGGGAGTGCTTGTGTTAAAAATAAGTGCTTAAAAACAAATGCTTATTTGAATAAGCACTTATTTGCATTTGAAACTCAGCTTTTTGAAGTGTTTTATTTTAAAAAATAAGCACTTATTTCATCTTGGGCATTTGGTGGTCTTTTTCTCCAATAAGCACTTAAACAAGCAATTGTGACTCTTTGGTACTTCATTTTTCTTTCAAATTTTCAAAACCTCCAACTAAAGTGAATGAATAAAAGTAATTTGATAGAAGTGCTTTTATAAAAGTGCTTTCATAAAAGTACTTCCATAAAATTACTTCTATAAAAATGCTTTTGTAGAAGTGATTTTATAAAAGTACTTTCGTAAAAGTGCTTTCATAAAAGTCCTTTTATAAAAGTACTTTCATAAAAGTACTTTCGTAAAAGTATTTTTGTAAAAAACACTTTTATAAAAGTACTTGCTTTCATAAAAGTGTTTTTGTAAAAGTACTTTCATAAAAATTCTTTTATAAAAGTGCTTTTATAAACATAAAAGTGCTCTTATAACATAAAATTCCTTTTATAAAAGTGCCTTTATAAAAGGATATAATTGGTATTCTAAAAACTTACCATGGATAATTTTGGGAGTAAAAATTTGAATAAGTGCTTATTGTATGAGCACTTAAAAATAGCTGGAAATTTGGACTTAAAAAATAAGCACTTATTTCAGGCTTATTTCCCAAACACCAATAAGTGCTTAATGGTGTGGTCCCTGCTCTAATAAGCACTTATTTCGAATAAGCACTTATTTTTAAGCACTCCCAAACATGGCCTTAGAATCTTAAGACCTAAGGTTGGCTAGACTTAATTTTCCATTTATCTAAGCTTTTAAAATTTAAAAATAATCTTACATTTCCTTTCCATTTAGGCTAATTTCTAAATGTGATAGGTGGTTGGGATTCTGCATACATGAATAGGTGGGACTCGATTTCCTAATACATGAATAGGTGGAATACAAAGTGAGTGAAAGGGTGCTGACTTGACTTAATAGGAGTGGTGGGAAGGGGGACGGAGAAAGAATTAAGGAGAGAGCAACATGGGGGGTTTGGAGCAATGAGAAGCCCTCTAACTTATATATATATATATATATATATATATATATATAAAGAGCGAATGCCCCTTCTTTCTAGTATTTATAAAGAGGGTATATATGTCCTTTACTCTTATTTTAGAAACTGTCAACTTATAATTGTTCAAAAGCTGTCCATAAATTATAAATAGTTTTGTTTAGAGATACTGTCACGTGCAAATGCATGTACATGATTTACTAATAACTTAACTATAACTTCCGATTCATTATAATGGGACTTTGGTGAAATACACAAGTGTGATCGAGAGAAATTGGGAAGTGGGTGAATAACTATGGAAAACGTGTTGCGATGAGTCATCCTAAGAATTTGGGATAAGCCCATTATGGAATGTGATCGAGAGAAATTAGGAAGTGGGATAAAAAAGCCTAGAGAGATTAAAGAGAACAAACCAAATGAGAAAGTGAAATCAAATTTGTAGTTAATCAATGAATGTGGCATAAAAGAGGAGGATATTTATCTCTCTATGGTTTCCAGAATTTCTCTCTATGAGTTTCCATAGTTTCTCTCTCTTTCTCTCTCTCTGCTATGAGAGAGTCTTCGTCTCAGGGTTTTTTGGTTAGTTCTCTTCATTCACCCTCAGTTGTCCTTCTTCCGTCTTTTGCCATATTTGGAATGACTCCCCTCGGGGAGTTACCCCTATCCCATTTCTTTTCTTTTCCCTCTCCCCCTTTCTTCTCCTCTTCTCCCTTTCCCTCATTCCTCTCTCTCCTTGTTTTTCTTGTTCCACTTCTCATTCTTTCCTTTCACTCATTCTTCTCCTTTATCTTTTGTTTTTTCTTTTTGTTCTTTTACGTAGGGATTTTGATACAAGAAGCTAACTCTTCCTTGAAGAATTTGGTGTTGGGTGGTGGCCTTCATCGCTTCTTTGGCTTTCACCGCTAGTGTCTGTTTCTAGAGTGTATTTCACCGGCGGTTACAGCTTCAGATGATTACAGTTTTGGCGGTTACAATTCCGGTGATTACAGTTCTGACAGTTACAATTCTGGCGGGTACAGTTCCGGGTATCTCCAGTTTCTTGGTGTGAGTCACTACTATCTTTATCCCTCACTTTCAGTTGTTGGAGATGCCCTCAATTGTTTCTTTTGTTGGTGATTCTGCCTCACCTTATGTCAATTGCAGAAGTTCATTTTTTGTTCTCCTTTATCCACTATCTATATTTTGTCCTTTCTAAGGATTTGTATCAGCAATTTTTTGCTTGGTACTGTGATTACTTCCTTGTATTCATAAAAGTTTCTTAGTTTGAATGAAATATGATTCTTGCCTTAAAAAAATAAAAGAGGAGGATATTTTAGGAGAGGTATCTTAGGAATATCAGAAGTAGGGTAAGATGGATGGGAGAATGAGAGGGAGAGAGAGATTTTATGAGTATTTTTAGGTATTTGGAATCGGAAAGCATAGGGATAGAAAGAGAGAGGGGTGATGACTGGACAATTTAGGAGTGGTGGAAAGGGGAGAGGAGAGAGAGTCAAGGAGAATGTAGGGTGGGGTAGGGGTGTAAATGGATCGAATTCGAACTGGATCAGGCAATATCTGAATTCGAATCTGATTAGAAAATACGATATCCGAATTTGATTCGATATCTGACGGATATTAAAAATTAATATCCGAATGCGAATCCGATTAAATATTTGAATATTCGATCGATTCGAATTTGATTAATTAATTATTTTAGATAATTAATAAATATAAAAATAAATATTTTATTGATATAAAGTATATAAATATATAAATTATATAAAATATTTTATATGTTGTATATAAGAATTAAATAATCGGTCGAATTCGGATATTTATCGAATCGAATCAGGTCATATCTGAATCCAAATTCGATTAACTATTCAATAAGAATAGGATATCTGAATTCGACCGATTATATATTTGAATTATCTGAATTCGATTCGATTTGATTATATTGAATATTGAATTCAAAATTGGATTTTCGAATACCATTTACACCCCGTAGGATAGGGGTAATGGAGTAAGAAGAGATATGCTCACGTGGACCAATCTTGCTATATATATTATTATAATACATGACATAATATATAGAACAAATTTGGAGATTAATGTTTCCCAAGGAACGGGGTGGGGTTGGGATTTTTTTTATGGCTATGGGATTAGGATATCTATCCCTATGAAATACAGGGCAAGGTATTTGAATTCGTATGTTTCCGGTATATATTAGACGGGAGAGATTATGCAAATTAGTATCGTACGTGTTCATGTTTCTGCCTTTCCGGTAAACCCACTAGTCCACCAACCCATGAAATATGAAACAAAAAGCATGGCTTACAAACATGCAAATGAATATGGTTCCACGTTGCAGTTATCAGTTGTCATCCTCACCATCTCACGGGTCCCACCATATAGATCAACAAGGGAAATTCTCACAATCAGACGGTGAAAAATAAACATGACACTTAGATTTGCGAATTTCTAGCCCATTTTGGATATCCATTTTCCAAATCCTTCTTTCGCATTTGGGAAATTGACTTCTTTCATTTTCCCACCTCTCTCTTATCTGCAACTTCTACAATGGCTTCCATATCTGCAGCTCTTCTTCTAGTCTGCTATCAAATCTCAGTCTCCTTTTGTCCAATACTTTCTGCCTCAGTCGTGGAGGATCTTAACAACCTACAGCCGCCTCTAGACTTTCACTCCACAGTAGCAAACAATTGTCTGATGAATCCATCTCTTAGATACTGCAACTACTCTTCCACTGACCTTCCTAACATCTTCAAATCCACCATAGTTGCAGACCACCTCTGCAATGAATCCAAGAACCTAAATTGTGATGCTTTATTTACAAAGATCGATCTCAGAAACCGCCCAAAAATTGCACCACTTTACTTATCCTTCACCTTCTTCTGGAGGTACTGCCCCTTAACGATTCTCAGCATTGATCTCTCAAACAATTCCATCACAGGGGCTTTTCCTTCTGAGATCCTCTACTGTTCCCAGATCCATTCTCTTGATCTGAGCCATAATGACCTCTCTGGTGATGTCCCAACACAAAGTTTCTCTCCTCTGACCAACCTTACACTCCTCAATCTCTCCTACAATCACTTCTCTGAAAGTAAAATCTCGGACAGCCCATTCTTTGAACGGTTTAATTCCTCGAGTTTTGTTCATTCAGGTCTTCTACCAGATCACAGGAAATTCAAGATCAAAGCGGTAATTTTGCTTATTGGGTTTCCAATCTTTGTTGTTCTGATGGTGGGATTTTTGGGGTGGCTATGCTTCCGACGACAAGATATCTTACCATCGGTTCTCAAACATCGGCACAATTTTACACCAACAATGCTAAATGCAGCAACAGCTGGATTTTCAGAGAAAAATTTGGTGGGAAAGAGTAGGGGAGTTGAGATTTACAAAGGGATTCTGAAAGATCGAACAGAAGTTCGAATTGAGATATACAATGAGAAAATTGCAAATCAAATCCGCAGAAAATTTGTCCAAGAATGCCAAATTCTTGTTCAATTGTCCCACAAGAATTTGGTTCGAGTGTTAGGCTGGTGTGATAATAGGGGACTGAGGGCCATTGTAACGGAATGGACGGATGGCGGGAATATTGAGTCATGGTTATCAGGCTACCCACCATGGAAGCACAGGCTGAAAGTTCTAACGGGACTTATGGAAGGGATGTATTATCTGCAGGAGCAATGGCCTGAAGTTGATTATGACCTTAGGGCAAGCAGTGTGATGTTATCCCACGACAGAGAGCCGTTGATTTCAAGGTTTAAGGTTGGAGAACAAAATAGTACTTCAAAGAGTAAGCTAATCTGTGTTTCCACTTAGCTGATTTCGATTTTAAATAATGCACTTCTTTGGCAAAGCCTGTGGTGCAAGTTTTGCACCCAGTAATTTACTTTTCCGTTGTTTGTTTACGAATACACTTTGGCTTCTGGGAGCCTTCATTTCTCAAACCAAAATTTGTATCCCACGTTAGAACTTGCATTTGCAGCAGTGCAAAGCTGCAAATGAAAATCTGCATTCAAATAAGGAGAAGTGTGTTTTAACATTAATACAACTCCGTTTACTACTATTCTTCTTTCTTGGTTTTTAATTTCTATTCTAATTGTTTTGAATTCACAAAAATGGGTTGCGGCGTTCATTTGCCTACATTAAATAATCTCATATTACGCAGCTAATCTAGTCTCTTGAAGTTGCTTCTTTGTTTTTCAGAGATTTACAGACTTGGAATACTTCTAATGGAGATGGTAGCAAACAGGCGGCCCCAAGAAGATTCTGAGAAGAGTGAGACTGGTTTTATCGAGTGGATGAGGATGAACTACCCTGGGAACGTTGAGAACGTGATCGATGGTAGAGTGAAGAAGGCAGGAGGTGGTGCATCTGAGCAAGCTGGGCAAATAATAGGCATAGCATTAACGTGCACCGATCTGTTGACAAATCGCCAACCAAGCTTGGATCAGATCTTCAATACCATCAATAGACTCTATGCGTCTTCCTTGGCATTTGAATCACCCAATCATAAGAGATCACACAAAGAAAGAGGTGAGTGGCACAAACGAGTCCAATCAAGATGAATCCGAGATCAAGTTTGAGCCTTGCAAATTAAATTTGCAATAGCAAGTACATGATAATCAAAGTGAAGTAGACCATATAAGCATGTAGCCCATATTAGCTTTCCACCATTTCTGAAGTACAAACGTCACTGTAAATAGAAATATCTTTCTGTGGCATTTGATATATGAAGAAACAATTGAGATTTCCTGAATTATTTTTAGCTTGAAAGCAGTGAGTTTCTTTTTCTTATTTTTTCTCCTTGAAAGCTCAAAGGCGTAGCAAAAGAGTTACATTTTTCTTGATCTAGACTCTAGAGGATAAGAAACTGGGAATACGAGACCAACAAGTAAAATATTGGGAGAGTCTACACAATATTTAGAGTTAACACAAATATCAAGAGACTAGAGAATTGAGGGAGTTCGGTAATGGGTTCATCCGAACAGAGATATATAGATGATGTAGTTACAGTGTCATGTATGATTACAACTCTCTGAATGATATGGGTCACAATCTGATAATGTGATAATTGATAAGCATGATAAAAGGATAACATGTGTGAATGTGCGTGAGCCAATATAAGTCTTGGAGCTTACTCTCTACGTGTCAACACGCCTCCCCAAGCCAACTGAAAGTACTTAAAGCTTAGAGAAAAGAAATTAAGGCAAGCAGATAGAGGCTTAGTAAATGTGTCAGTTCAGAATTATACAAAAACATATTTAAAAATTCTATGCATATTAATAATACTAGCGACTTCTTGTACTATGTACCGAAATGGACTTAAAATTTATTGTTCTATAGAGCTACATAACTCATGGGTAGGGATGGCAATTTTCTCTAGGCAGGAATGGGGTGGAGATTGTCTTAGTAGGGACAAAGTGGGGATGGGAGTAACTAAAAACAAATTTTTAATTAAAAAATTCAGAGATTCAGGTCTGAACCCTCTCTGTCGAGGTCGAGATTAACTTAAAACTTGAGGTTGGAATGGGGAGTATGATCCCTGCCCCGAACCCACCCATTGCCATTCCTATCCTAGGGATCATCTCCTAAACCCATAACACCCTCAAACCCATAAATATACTCCATTAATTATAGTAATTATAAATGTAGTATCCAATACGTATAGAAATTATTAAAATTTTCTAATTATTTATAATTTAACTTTCAATAAATTAAAAAAATCACTAATTATTGCTCAAAAATGACAGTAAATATCAAAATTACTAAAAATATAAAAAATTAATTTATATTTATTGAAATTAATTTTCCACTAAAAAATTACTGAATTTTTTAATTATTATTTGATAATATCATTAAATATTAATAAATTGACCAAAATTACTGAAAATATCATTAACTACTTATTACTAAAAGTTACTGATAATTTTTAATTATTAAATTTATATTTACTAATATTTTAATTAATTATTAATTTTTAGTAATTATTGATTTCAATAATTAATTTTCAAAAAATTCTGAAATTAAATTACCAAAATCAGTAATTTTCAGCAAGTAATTCTTAGTAATTAAAATTTTAAATTGACCAAAATTATGGAAAATTATAGTTTAGGTGTTGATATTTACTAAATAATATTCAATAATATCAATAATTATTCAAAATATAAAAAATATTTCATAGATTAATTTGACTACTCAAATTAATCTAATTAATTAATGTAACCACGTTTTTGGTTTTTATATGATTTACAATATAGATTAAGAGGTGTTTTAAGAGGAATTTTAGATGGGAGAGATTGTTTTGGAGAAATTTTAGGAAGGGGTTGAGCCAATTGGTAACATGAGAGAGAGAGAGAGAGAGAGAGAGAGGAACTCTCGTGAAGAAGAGAGGGCTGCCACGTGGCAATATAGATTAAGAGGTTTTTCAGGAAGAATTTTTGGTGGGAGAGATAGTTTAGGAGAAACTTTAGGAGGGGGTTGCCATGAGGAACTCTAGTATAGAAGAGAGAGCTGCTAAGTGGCTACATGGAAGGGCTAGGAATGGGTAAGGGAGAAAGGAGAGAGGTTTAAAGAGAGAAGAGCGAAGAAGAAATGAAAGGAGAGGGCTGCTGACGTGGGACCTAATCACTTTAAAATATAGTATAGATATAATACCATACATACTACATTTATATACATGTCATACATACTACATTTATATAGATATATATTCAGTAAAGCTTTATACCATATGTAATCACCATGGACTTGATAGGTGGTTGGTCAAAGGATGTGTAAGACCGTGATAGGGGATCCAAGGATGTGTAAAGAGGTAAAAACCAATTGCTTAAGCAAAAATTTTGTGAATCAGTATACTTGGTTGTTAACTTGGTCATGATTATCTGTTCTGCAAAAGTCTATCAAGACATCTCGTAGATAAACCAAGTGATTCTGATGAATTATGGGTGCCCACAATATCTGTATGATGCACAAGCAAATCATATCAGCCTATGAGCGAGATGTGGACCACCCTCTTAAGCTTTACACATCAAAGTGAAAGGAGTTTAGTAAGCTTCAACCAACACCAAATATTGGACACATTATGCAACCTCATCTTTCCTAATTGAAAAGAAAAAGAATGCAAGCAAGAAGTCAGTCTGCCTATAATGCTCGATTTCTTATTATATAATGAATCTGATAGGTCCCAGTCAAAGCTAGAGAGATAGAGTATTCTGCTTAGGGTGAGAATAAAACCACAAGAGTTTATTAACTTCCAACTGCCCCATGCATGTGGTGGGGTGGTGTTTAAATACAAAAACTTCTAACTTCCTACCACTAAGATAGCCTCAAAGTAAGAGATTAGCCTTCTAACTACATGGCCAATCCCTAAGCCTTCTCATACTAACAACTTAACAGAAATAACAACTAACTTATTTGGCCAATTCTTATGCTTAAGACCAGCTAACAATATGCTTAAGACCAGCTAACAATCAACAACTAACTTCTTGACCGATTCTTATGGCTTGACCGATTCCTGCTCTACTGGGCCGTTGCATGGGCCATGCATGATGGGCTGGGCGTAGGTACCCTGTTCGATCTTTGTGGCCCATCATTGCCCCCATCCTGTAGATGGACCTTGTCCTCAAGGTCTAGATTTATGTACTTCTCGCGCAACTCTTGGGAATTCTCCCATGTGGCATCTTCACTAGGAAGGTTCTTCCATTGGACGAGGCTTTCCTCCACAAAGGTGGATCCTTTCTTCACCCAGCGGGTATTAGAATAGCTGCCAGTTCTGTGACAAGTTCTCCCTCCTCGTTTATGGATGGTAATTTGGTGCTAGTGGTAGTGGTTTCACCCACCTGTCTTTTGAGTAGGGAGACGTGAAAAACTGGATGGATGCGCAAGCCCTCAGGAAGTTGCAGTTTATAGGCCACTTTGCCTATTCATTCCTCAATTTGGTACGGCCCATAATAGTGACTGGCCAACTTGTGATAGGCTCGCCTATGAACAGTCTGCTGTCGGTATGGGTGGAGCTTGAGAAAGACCAGATCGCCCACTTGGAACTCGACGTCTCTTCTTTTAGAGTTAGCCATTTGGGTCATGTGGTTAATTGCCGCATGCAGGTTTATTTTGAGTTGCTGCAAAATGGCATCGCGAGAGAGCATGGCTTGATCTACCTCTTCTACCGGGGATGTTCCACCTTGGTAATTTGGAATACGAGGTGGTGGTCTTCCATAAAGTGCTTGAAAGGGCGTCATTCCGATAGAGGAATGATAGGTGGTGTTATACCAAAATTCTGCCCATGGGAGGAAGGAGCTCCACTTTCGAGGTTGCTGAAAAGCAAAGCAATGAAGATACTGCTCTAGACAATGATTGACCACTTCGGACTGCCCATCAGTCTGGGGATGATAGGCGGAGCTCATCTGCAATTTGGTACCGGACATCTTAAAGAATTTCCTCCAAAAGTGGCTAACGAAGATAGGATCTCTGTCACTAACGATCGTCTTTGGGATACCATGCAACTTCACAATTCCTTCTACAAACCTTTCGGCTACTAATTTGGCCGTATAGGGGTGTGGTAAGGTCAAGAAATGAGCTGATTTAGTGAGACAGACAGTCTACTACCACAAAAATAGTGGTTTTGCCTTTGGAGGGTGGTAGACCTTCTACAAAGTCCATGGTAATGTCGTCCCATAGACAGAGTTCTTGGAGAACACTGCTGATTCTGCTCCATCCTACACTGCGCCATCTTCAGTGGGAGCAGTCTTTGGATCATTCCTTGGGCATGAACACCTTCATTGAGAGATAATATTTCTCTATATCAGGTATACTTCTCTCCTATTCCTTTTGGTTCAGATCTGGTTCAGTTTATAGTTCAAGATTGATCATTGAAAATATGATTTTCTAAATAGGGAATTCGATTCCCAGTTGAAAGGGAGAGAATTTTTTTTTGAAATTCGCCCACCTTATTCCGCAAGATTTGGGCATCCATATGATGGATCCAATCAATCTCTTTTAGTTCTGAACCTGCGCAAATGGGCAGAAGGCGTTCTACCCGATTTGCGTAGATAAAGGTTTTGGGAAATTTGTTCACAAATTTATGGGCGAATGATCTGAAATTAATTTTTATATAAATCTGATTATTGTTTAGAATTGTTTTTTATGATTTTCTTGATTTATGGGTTGTTCGTACAAGAAGAGATCGAAATCTTGATTTGCGTAGGGAACCTGCGATTTTGCAGATTATGGATTATTTTATTACATTTGGTCTGTAAAATAATTTTTTTTTTTATTTTTTAGACTGAATGTATAGGCATTCGATCTGATGTAATTATTAATAGAAATTAGGATTTCTATTTATTTTATTTTGGATCGAAGATGACGACACAAGAAGGAGATTTCACAGATGGGAGAATCGCAATCTGTGATTTGTAGTTTATGAAACTGCAAACTGTGATCTAACCTCTGTTTTACAGGATGGATTGTGTGAACAACCCTGTTTGACTGATTATTGCTTTTCTATTATTAGTATTTAATTTCAGATTATTTTCTTG